AGAGAGTGGACTCAGACTGTGGGTGCCGAAAGCTGTCCTGACAAAAGCATCATTATCCTGTTCCCTGTTGGTGAGGCCTGGGTGGCTCTGCAGAGAACACTGTTTGTACATCTCCACCTCCCGATGGATGTGTGGGGGCCGTGTGTTCTGCACAGGGGCTGGCCGGGGCCCTTGGTGGTTTGGCTGGGTTTGATTTTAGAGAGTTCATATGTGGGTGTGGGTGTAGGACCCCAGTGTTCTAGCCCCCACCTCTAGCATTGGCGTCTACATGGCTTTCGGACCACCTCTTTGTGCCACCTCTTTGGCCACTGGGTGGGAGACAAGGAGGACCTTCTTTGGTGGGACAGAGTGCTGAGTATCCTTGTTCCTGGCCTCCAAGGCCCCGTTGCCTGGCCCCTTGCTGCAAGGGGTCCCCTGGCTTGACCAGTGACTGTGGGCTGCCCATGGGTGGACAGATGGTTCGCTGAGACCATGGGTGTACAGATAGTTCTCTGAGCTGGGATGAGATGAGGGGTCGCTGGTGAAGAGAGGACAATCTAGACCATGCTGGTCTCTGGAACAGACATAGGAGAGGTCGAGGGGGGCATTTTCCACTCCTCCGGAAGAGGAGAAAGGCAGGAGGCAAGGAAGAGAAGACTCTCGTCTGGCAGGGAGGAGTGCCCCAGAGAAGGAGAGAGCTGGGACAGAGGTCCCTTTTCTTTGGGTTTTATCAAGTGGAACATGAAAGGTATCATTGAACCTGAAGGTGGTTTTCTGATAACTTGCCTTTGAACTTGGAGTTTGGTTTCGATAAGCCCGGCCGTCTCGCATCTCCAGCCAGCACCTCCGTGGAGGGAGGCAGCGGCTTTGAAGACGGAGCTGGCTTTTGTTTTTCTCGCTTCTTATTTTTGTTCTCTCCATCCCCTTGCAGGAGGGGTGAATAGAGGATGGTGTGAGCCACGATATCACCACGTTATCATTCTGTTTGTTTGGGTGGGCGGTTTGGGGCAAGGGGGATCCTTTGGATCTGGGCTGCCAGTTGGGACCATGGTTCCTCTGTGTCCTTTCTACATCCAGCATTTATTGAGGACCTGCCGTGTCCTAGCCCTTTGCTGAGCGAGCACTTTCTTCTTGCCTTCCCGCAGCCCTGCACGGGAGAGAATGTCGTATCCCCATTTTACAGAGAAGTCCAGTGCCTTTTCCAGGGCTGCCCAGTAGTGGCAGAGGCAGAATCTGAACCCGGGATACAAATCCGAATGTGCCCTTGACTGTGACACTCCTGCCCAGCTCTGCCGCACCTGCTAGACATGCCAGAGGCTTCCAGAGCTGAGGGCTTCACCTAGTGCTGGGGGTGGAGACAGCCAGCGACCCAGCTCTTGCAGGTGACTGGAATGCCTACTGCCTCACGACCTGGTAGAAGTGACTGTGCACCCACCCTACCTGGACTCAGATTGGTGGCAGCTAGGGCCCAGGCCACCCTGGATGCTTGACTGTCCTTGGGTCCCTTCCTGGCTCATGGTCTGCCTGTCTTCCCAGGGTCACACTGGAGTGGGGTGCTCCAGCCATCAGACTGTTTGATTTGGAGGTGCAGGGAGGGCAGTGACCCTCCTTGACAGCTGTCCCACTGTGAAGGTCCCAGTAGCCCACCCTGGAGATCTTCCAAGGAGGCCGATGTTCTTTTCTTTCACTACACTGCCAGGAGCTGGGGTCACTGATGGGAACCACGGTCTCCAGCTGCGGTTCCTATGGGCTCTCGGGAGTCGTTGCCTTGTTGTGGGGGGGTACTGTGGGCTGGAGGCCCATGCATGCTGCTGGCTGTGCTGGGGTGAGGGGAGGGGGGCTCTGGAGGTGTTGCTGTGCTGGGCCTCAGCTGTGGCTGTGGCCTTCATGTCCTCTCCACACCTGAGCTGGCAGCCCCTCCCTAGCCTGTTCCCACCCAGCTCTGTGTTGTATATTCAATATGCTTCTGTGCCCATTTGTATTCCAAAAGCCTCAGTTTTAAGAAAACTTAGTACCCAACCATCTTCAGTCCCCAAAAAATCAGTGGGGTGGGGCCGTCATTCTTCTAACTGCTGCTACTTTGTGGCTGGGACCCTGCAGTGTTGGGTCCTGGCTCTTAGTCCTGTAGGTCGTAGCTCAGCTCACTGGATCTGCACAAGACTTCTCTCAGGAAGGGATGGTTAGCCTCCTGGATTTATAGTTAAGGAAACCCAGATGGCTAGAGAAATGGCATGACCCACCCAGGGTCACACAGTGCCTGTGCAGAGACTGGCCACCGCCCCCCTCCCTACCCCCGCTGGCCTATCAGACAGAAAGAGGTAGGCTAAGAAAGGCAGCAGGCCTCCTGAATCAAACTGTGAAAGGCTCACAGAGACAGCTTGTGGAGTGGCCTGAGCATGACTCAGGCTACTTGGGTTCAAATCCCAGCTCAGTCATTTACTAGCAGAGCACTTAGCTTCTCTGAGCCTCAGTTTCCGCATCTGGAAAGTAGAACTAATGTGAGCCAGTAAGTGGCGTGGTGGTTAAGGCGGCTGGATCCCACATGGCCGACAGCGCATGTGGGATCCTGCCTTGACTCAGCAGCTTGAAAAACATACCTGGCACATGTGCATGTGTGCCCAAAATCCCAAGAGGAGGATGGAAGAGAAGGGATTGCGGTGTGGCCATCCGCCCTGAGGTGCTGTCTTACCCCTGCTCCCCGAGCTGACAAACAGCAGGCGTAGTCAGCATCGTGGAAGGCCTGGCACTGCCACCTCATCTTACGCACAGGGGCATGACTAGAAGTGCTTTAGGGAACTGCTGGGAAGAGAGCTCTGGCCCCACCGGACAGAAAGGGGGGCGCGGGATAGCTGGGGCCCAGTGCCACTGGGAGAATCCCTGCCATGCCTTCCCCAGTAGCCGCTCCTGGGCCTGGTCTGCAAAGCTTGGGTGAGTGTGGTGAGAGGGTGGGGGAGAGGGGAGATGCACAGCCCCATCTGGTTCCTCCACCTGAGCTTCCCCTCTCCAGGCTCCTGCTTCCTCGGGGAAGTCCAGCGTGCTCGTCCTTGCTGGGGCATCTCAGCACCTCACGTGGTCCTCTTGGCAGCCTGGGTGGGAGCCGGTTTGCTAACCTGTAAGACAGGACAATGAAATCGCTGCCCCGGGCAGCAGAGAGACCCTAAGGAGAGAGGAGCTGTGAGCAGTTCTAGAAAAGCACCTCCCTGGGCAAACCCAGGGTTCCCTTTATCAGGCAGAGACACCGTGGGTAGAAGGGCCCGATGAGGCTCCCTGGGACGTTGCAAGATTTGATGGAGCCTGCAGTCCGAGTCCTAGGTCCTTGGTGCTCCCTCGAGCAGTTCCTGGCACCTCTCCAAGGTGTTCACGGGAAAATAGTGCCAGGAGGATGTGGGATTTCACACCCACTCTCCCACTGCTCCTGAAAGACACACAAAGGACGGTGACCTTTGGTAAGGAGGTGGGCCCAGGTGAGCAGAGGGCGAGCTTGCTCCCTGGGGAGGCTGCGTGTACGTGCGTGTGCGTGTGCATGCTGATGTACACCCATGTCGATGCACACCCATGCCCTTCACCACCCCTGTAGAACTCAATTTCTGTCACTCTCTCAAGCACCCTTCAGTGTCCCCTGTGCTGGACCTAGGCAGGTGACATCTTTGAGACCACAGTGTCAGTATGGACAGTACAGAAAATGGCCATAATCCTACAACTCCTTCTTAGGGGGCCCCTAGTTCCCTCTGTCCTTATCCATCTGCCCTTTGGCCTCACAGAGCCCTGGGTGTCACATGCCACTTCAGGGCACTGAAGTCTCATGCAGGGCCTGGGGGGCTCCTGAAGCACCTCCTGGCAGCATCACCAGGAGCCAAAGAGTAGGACAAGGATGGGCTCCAATGCCCAGGGAGGAAGTCCTCCACACCAGGCTGGGGACAGAGCTGCAGCGAGCACGGTGGCCCTGCAGCCCGACGTCTGCACCCCCCTCACACCTCCTCGCTTGCCTCTCTCTGCAGTGGCCCTGCCTCCTGAGAAGACTGATGGGCTGGGCAGCACAGATGAGAAGAAGATGGAGAAAGCCGGCGAGTCTTGCCCAGGCTCCAAGAAGCAGCTGAAATTTGAAGTAAGTTTCTTTCCTGGCAAGGGGCCCCGTGGAGATGGGAAGGGTTCTCGACCTGGATGATGCTTGGCCAGGAGGCAGGCTGAGGCCTAGGCAGACCGGAGCACCCCTCACCTCCTGCACGAATGGCCGTCCCCACTGTAAGGCTCCTCCTGCTCAGTGCAGCCTCCCTGGACTCTTTGTGGCCCACCTTTAGCCTGGCCCTGCCCTCTCCACAGGACGTGTGGCCAGAGCCATCCAGCTGGGCTGTGGCCTGGAGAAAGGACCTGGGAGTGGACAGCAGTAGATAGAACTCTGGCCCTGGTACTGCTGTTACCTGTCTGGGCCTCGTTTCCCTTAGAGAAACCTTCCCTTCTGACCCTGAGGCTGTTCTGGGTTTACATGAGGGCTGTCCAGTGGTGCGGGTGGCCAGCAGGAAGGAGGCCGTGGACCGGTCCTTGACCCTATTTGGGCTTCAGTTTTCCCATTCGATCCACACAGGGATGTGCTGTCTCAGTTCGCACAGCCATCCATACCCCCCAACCCCAACTCCAGAGAGTACTCAGAGCCTTGTACGTCCGAGCAGAGTGCCAGGGGCACGTGAGGCTTCCCAGCTTCTCACACCCTCCTTTCCTCCAACCTCCTCCCGTTTCCCTTCGGGACCATTAGGGCAGAACTCTGGGGCTCAAAAACCTACTAGCTGTGTGACTTGCTGTCACGGCCTGCTTGTTCGCCTTGCCTATAAAATGGGGACAGTGATGCTATCTACCTCTCAGGGACTTGGTCGTTGTGATGAGTTTACATGCCTGATGTGCTTTGGCGGGTGTCCAACAGAGCATGCTCGTCTTCTTTCCAACCTATGCTGCTTGGTGCCTGCGGGTTGCCAGGACCTCCCGGCCATGAATGGGGTGTGGGTCCTTGCTCAGAGTGTACATCGGGAAGTGGGGCCAGATCTAGTGACCACATGGCTGGCGAAGTGATGGGGAGCTGGGAACATGGGAGGTGGTTGCCTAAGGCAGGTCAGAGGGGTGCGGGCTGATGGGCCCAGGAAATTCTAGTCTATGCACTGCCGTAGGAGGGAGCAGGGGCTGCGGGTGCAGGCTGCAGAGGCCAGCATCAGAGCCAGCCATATGAGCATGGAGAGGGGTTGGAGAGGGGATGCACAGAGAGATTTCGAGATGGGAAGGACATTCAGGCAGAAGGGATGGCAGGAGCAGAGGCCTGGAGCCTTGGCAGCACTGGCTTGTAGGCTGGGATGAACAAGCTACGTGTATGGTTTGCACATGGCAGAGAGTGTGTGGGGAGACCACATGGTGGAGGGTGGGTGGAGGACAGTCACCAGGGACCCTGTATGTAGGAGCTAAGGGGCTGGGCAGTGTCTATTTGAGGACGTGGGCTTGCCTGCTTCTTCCTGGAACCCACTCCGGTCCACGCAGGGCCTTCTGGTGCTTGGCAAAGCAGAGGGCTGAGCTTGCAGTGGCAGAAGGCAGGCTGCACTGGGCATGTGGCTTCCATGTGTCCCTAACCTTGCCCCTAAATCTGAACCCAGCCCAGGCCATGGTCCTCACTCAAGGTCTAATTCTTGCCCTGACCCTACCCCTAACTTTGGCCCTAAGCCTTACCCTAACCCTTCTCTTAATGTTGACCTAACCCCTACCCTAACCCTTCTCCTAACCTAGGCCCTAACCCCTACCCTAACCCTTCTCCTAACCTAGGCCCTAAGCCCTACCCTAAGCCTGCTCCTAACCTAGGCCCTAAGCCCTACCCTAACTCTTCTCTTAATGTTGACCTAACCCCTACCCTAACCCTTCTCTTAATATTGACCTAACCCCTACCTTAACCCTTCTCTTAATGTTGACCTAACCCCTACCCTAACCCTTTTCCTAACCTAGGCCCTAAGCCCTACCCTAAGCCTGCTCCTAACCTTGGCCCTAAGCCCTACCCTAACCTTGGCCCTAACCCCTACCCTGCTCCTAACCTTGATCCTAACCCCTATCTTAACCCTACTCTGGTGTTTTGCTTTGTTCTGTTCTGTTTTGTTTTTGAGAGAGAGATTTTTGCTATAGGGCACATGCACTCACCAGGGATACAGAGACAGAAAGCAAGAGATCACCCCTCAGGGGGGATGGCAGTGCACACAGTCCCTTCTCCATTCTCCTCTCAGGATCTTGGGCACAAATGTATGCACACCTGGTGTGAGTTTGAATCCACTGGGTCCAGGACTCAAGCTGAAGCTGACTACATGGGAATCCAGCGACATAGCCATTATACCATCTGCTGGTCCCACCCTAGGCCTACTTCTAACCTTATCCCTCACTCCTATACTGACCCTACTTCTAACCTTAGCCCTAACCCCTACTCTAACCCTGCTCCTAACCTTGATCCTAATCCCTACTCTAACCCCACCCCAACCTTGATCCTAACCCCTACTCCTAACCCTGCTCCTAACCTTGATCCTAAACCTTGATCCTAACCCCTACTCTAACCCTGCTCCTAACCTTGATCCTAATCCCTACTCTAACCCCACTCCTAACCATGATCCTAACCTCTACTCTAACCCCACTCCTAACCATGATCCTAACCTCTACTCTAACCCCACTCCTAACCATGATCCTAACCCCTACTCTAACCCTGTTCCTGACCTTGATCCTAACCCCTGTCCTAACCCTGCTCCTGACATTGATCCTAACCCCTACTCTAACCCTGCTCCTGACCTTGATCCTAACCCCCTACTCTAACCCCTGCTCCTAACTTTGATCCTAACCCCTACTCTAATCCTACTCCTAACCTCGATCCTAACCCCTACTCTAACCCTGCTCCTAACCTTGATCTTAACCCCTACTCTAACCCCACTCCTAACCTTGATCCTAACCCCTAATCTAACCCTACTACTAACCTTGATCCTAACCCCTACACTGCCCCTGCTCCTAAACTTGATCCTAACCCCTACTGTAACTCCGCTCCTAACCTTCCCTAGCCCTTACCCTAACCTTGGCCTAACCCTAACCCTAGCACTAGCCTGGCCCTAACTCATGCATTGACCTTGACCCTGACCCTGACCCCCAAGTGTGTCTATTTCTGCAGAGGGGCTGGCTGGCTGCTTGGGACTGAGTCATGACCCATGAGAGGAAGTCCAGGGGGCCAAGGAGACCCACACAAGACAGAGAGGGGCAGGTGGGGAGAGTTATTCAACTCAGGTTTCTGAACTTCGTACTCAAACTGTCTGGAAGAAGGGGACAGGTGTACGTGTGTTGGGGGAGGGGCGTGTGTGTAGTGTCGTGTGGCAGCATGTTTTTCATGCCACGTGAAAGTACCTGGGAGAGTGGAGCGGGACTCCGGCAGGTGTTGGAGGGCATGTCCCAGGTGAGGGAGGCTGACTTTGAACTCAGTGTGGGCTCCTGAGCACTGCTGGAGGGAAATGCCTTCGAGCAGCAGAAGCCAGGGACAGAGAGGCCATGCTCAGGCACATCCAGCCAGTGTCCACATGCCAAGGACATTCTCTGCTCTGGGTGACCTCATGCCAGGCCAGCTGGGGGCACCAGCGTCTCCACAGCAGGAGATAGAGGTGGAGTGAGTGATGTGAGATAGGACCAGAAGGGCCTGTGTCCTTGTTTTCAGGCCGTCCTCCTGCGGGGGATGCTTTCTCACTTACTCTCTCTCCGTCTCTCTGTCTCTCCAGTGAGCACGCACGCCCTATAGCAAAAACCTCTCAGAGTGGAGTGGGGGGATCTTACGGATATTAAAGGCCATCTGTGGATCCTCTTTCTCAGAATAGCATCCTTTCGAGAACTCTCCATCTGATACTCAGCCAAGTCTTGAAGGAGGGAGCACACCACCTCCCAGCTCAGATTCCCTGGGATCAGACACCATGGGTTGCCGTGAACAATGAAGATGCAGTTATGGCTGGATTAATCATTACAGCAAACCCACCAGCAGCTCGTGCTGTTCCTTGGGCTCTTCTGTGTGCCAGGCAGTGCCAGGCACACATACGGACTTCTGCCTTCCAGTTCCCCCAGTGCAGACCCCTAGTCCAGGACTGGGAGCAGATAGTGTCCTGGGGAGGGGGTGCCAGGGAGCAGGTGCAAGGGCATGGGTCAGAGGCCAATAAAGCATGGGTTAATGAGCAAGTTGCCAGCACAGGCAGCTGGAAGCCCTCCAGAGAACCACATAGGACACTCTGACCTGTCCGTGGAGGGCTGAGGAGGGCATTCGGCCTGTCCCTCCCTTGTTTGGTTGCCTTTGGGCACTCAATTCCTGGCTCTTTGCAGCTGCTTTTGGGCAGAGAACAGGGCTCTGAAGTGGGAGGTTGGGAGCTGTCCTCCAGTACTGTGGGGATACTAGGGGGGTGGAGGGGCATGGAGATGGGCAGAATGTATTTTATCTTCTACCCTGGTGGGATAGACATTGTCATTCTCCATGGCTTATATGAGGGGAAACTGAGGCACAGAGACGTACCAGTGCATGCACAGGGTCATACACCTGTAGAGGGCCAAGCAGTGCGGGCCCCGGGGCCCATTCTGGAACTGGAGCTCATAGTGCCCTGTCTTCCCCCTGGCTCCCAGCTCTTAGGTCAGGTGCCCATCTTGGGAGTCCTTCCCGGCTTCCCAAGTTGCTGTTCCCATTGCCTTACAGCCACTCCCAGCCCTCGGTCCAAGTCAGCCTTGCTGAGACCACAATGCCCTGTCCCTGTGTCTGCTTTGTCTCGGAGGCCCAGAGTCTGCCAGGCACCCTGCAGGCATCTCTCTCTAGGTCAATCCCCGCCTGCTGGGCTCCGGCCTCTTTCCCAGGTCCCTCTTTCACCCAGGGACTGGAAAGGGCAGAGGGCAGGTGGTGGCCTCCTGGCCTGGCCTCTGGGCTCAGGCACCCCCTTGGCCTATGTTCCAGCTAAATGACCAGCCCTGTCCATCTGTTTGTGCCCAGGAGCTGCAGTGTGACGTGTCAGTGGAGGAGGACAGCCGGCAGGAATGGACCTTCACGCTCTACGACTTTGACAACAATGGCAAGGTCACCCGCGAGGTGAGTTCACCTGACCCCCTCCGGCCACTTGCCACACCCCCAGGCACAGGGACTGGGCACCCCGGCTCACTGTTCCTTCCCCTTCAAGTCAGCCCTGCTCCGTGGAAAGGCTGTCACAGGCAGTGGATTGTTGGGGGGCGGAAGGGAGTGGGGAGCAAGGCTGCTGGGAGTTTCGGGGATATGTGGTAGGGCGGCCCAGAGTTCTGGTGAGTGGGCATAGGGGACAGAGAGGACGGAGCAGCCAGGCTCCCCTGCGCTCAGCCGAGGCTCTGCTTCCTCCAGGGGAGGGAGAGAAGCAGGCTCAGGGCTCTGGGGCCTCCCCAAGAGGGATCCAACACTCCAACAAGTTCTATCCTACTCCCTTCTCTGTGGTCCCAGAGCCGTAGGGGCAGGGCTGGGCCCTCTCCAGGCCAGGTGGCACCTGCCATGCAGTGTATCGGAATGGTCACCCCCAACTGTAAGGGCCCTGCCAGC